CTTTGTAATCTTTTTCGGTTTTTTACCTTCAACAGTTTCGTCGGTGACAGTAACTTGCTCCCGAATTTCCTCTACTTCTACAGGTTTTGCCAATTCCAGTTCAGGTAAAGATAAATTAGTTTCTTCTACAATTTCCTCTTCAGGGCCCTCGGTAACCGTGGTGACGGGTGCTTTTCCTATTTCCTCGACAGTGACTTCTTCCGTCACTTGCTGTTTCTGTCCTTTGCGTTTAATAATCTTTTTCTTTGTAATTTTTTCGGTTTTTTACCTTCAACAGTTTCTTCGGTGACAGTGACTTGCTCCCGAATTTCCTCTACTTCGACAGGTTTTGCCAATTCGAGTTGAGGTAAATGTAAAATACTTTCTTCTACGATTTCCTCTTCAGGGCCATCGGTAACCGTGGTGACGGGTGCTTTTCCTTCCTTTTCGACAGTGACTTCTTCCATCACTTGTTGTTTTTGGCCCTTGCGTTTAATAATCTTTCTTTTTGTAATTTTCTTTGGTCTTTTGCCTTCAACAATTTCTTCGGTGACAGTAACTTGCTCCCGAATTTCCTCTACTTCGACAGGTTTTGCCAATTCCAGTTGAGGTAAAGGTAAAACAGTTTCTTCTACAATTTCCTCATCAGGGCCTTCGGTAACCGTGGTGACGGGTGCTTTTCCTTTTTCCTCGACAGTGACTTTTTCCGTCACTTGCTGTTTTTGTTTTCTTTTTTTTATAATTTTTTTTTTAATTGTTTCTTGTGGAATTTTTTCTGTGTTATTTTTATCTTTTGCTTGGTTTTGGCTGTTTTCTTCTTTAGTTTTGATAATAGTATGGTACGGAATAATGTTTTCTTTTTCTTTTTTATATTTTGTACCGTTTTTATTGGTTGTCGTTGGTATCTGTTCTATTACTATCTCTGTTGTTTCTTCTATTTTATGTGGTATATCTTCTAATTCTTCAATTTTTGTTGGTGCTATTTCTTCTATTCCGGTCGTTCCCACTACTTCTTCTATTTGCATAAACTGCTTCTTTGGGATTGATGGTAAGCGTGATTTTATATTTTCAAGTTCTTCTTCGATTACGACTACTTTTTCTTGTTTAGATTTGCCGCCTAGTTTCTTTTTTCGTATTATTGTTTTCTTTGTTTTAACCGCTGCTGTTTCATCGTTTTTGCTGCCACGTCTAAATTTAGTGGTATATTCTTCAGTTATTTCAATATCAGAATCATTCGTTGGATGATGTGTTGTTGTATCGTGTTTTGTGATGTGTTGTGTAATTGTGATGTCATGTTGTTGCGCTGATTCTGCTGTTGTTTCTGAAATATATACAGAAGTGTGGCATGATTAATATGTTGAGTGTTATGTGGTTTTGTTTGCGTTGCAATGTTTAATTTTTATTCTAGTTTGGTATTGTTGGAATTAAAATATTTTCTATTTTTCCATTTAACGTTCATCATTCCATCATTGAAGATTGTCTTGCATCAAGCGTGGTAGTATTCGCTGCATGTTGAACGTTTTGAGCAATGAAATATTTGTTTTGTGAAATACTTGTGTAAATTGTTTTTATTATTACGGAATAATTTGTTGTAAATATCGATTTTGTATTTGATTACGTTTGTACTTACCTCATACTTCTTTGATTAGGTTCATAATGCTAAATGCAGATCAAATTTGTTAGTCTATCCGCAGATAATTAAAAAGAATGCTTATTTTATCGCATTGTGAATTATATCTAATTTATTTTATCTCTAATTTTTCAATAAGATTGTTTAATTTATTTGATCTAGTTTTATTCGTTTTGTGTCGTGGTCATCGTATCCCAAGTCGAGTTTCTCTAAAGGTTGCATCTGATTTGTCAAGGAAAATTATGTTACCTTTAATTGAATAATACTTACCCTCAACTTTTTCCATGTAGTTGGCTTCTATAGATGTACTCGCTAACTTTGCTAGTGGTACTACGGACTCAGGCAGATTTGATTCAATTTCAGCTGTGTTTTGTAATTCGGTAACTATTACTCCCTGCTTCTTGTCTCTTATTGTGTGAGCTATTTTACCTTCTAGTTTCGATACTGTAAATTCTGACGCTATATTTTCTGGAAGAACTTCGGTCTTTAGAGCAACTTTTCTTTCAGTTATATCGGCTTGCGCGCTCACTTCTTTAGCTAGCTCTTTTATAATTTCCTTTGCTTCTTTTTCAGTAGCGGTCACTTGAGTAACTTCAATGCTTTCAGAAACACGGAAGGAAATTTCGGCTATTACGCTTGGTGCTGCTTTATCGATGATAAGGAAATGTTCACTTTCATGAGGAATTGATTGCGTTTGTTGTATACTTTCAAATGGTATTTGTTCTGGTGTTAATTTTTTCATTTCAGGTTTAGTAGATTCTGTTATCTCTTCTGTTGTTGATGATGCAACCACTTGAGATTTTTCAGCAACATGCATATCCAGCATGCTCGGTTCAGCTATTTGTTTAGTTGGTTCCTCTGGAGTTAATAGCCGTTTCTCTGCCTCACTGAAAGCCACTTCTGAGATGGACAATGATATCAGTTCTTCTAAGTTTGGTTTACCTTTGTGTTCTTCGGGAGCTTCTGATTTAACGAATTCTTTAACATTGCTTACTGTTAAAACTTCTGAAGTTTCTGCAACTTCTATACTAGAAATTTTTGGTAAAGCTTTATATTCTTTTGGAGCTTCTTGAGTTGGTAATTCTTGTTCCGCTTCTGTAGATATTACTTCGGATACAGTAATGAAACTCATTTCTTCGATATCTGGTTTTCCCTTCTGTTCATCCTTTTTCTTTGATTCAGGTATTTGTTCAACATTTGCAGCGGTAATGATTTCAATCTTTTCAGCAATCTCCCTTCCTGAGAAACTTGGTGCGGCTGTTTTGTCATCTAACTTTTCTTGACTTGGCAATTGTTCTTCTGTTTCAGTAGATATTACTTGAGAAACTATCAATGACGAAAATTCATCCAAGCGTGGTTTACCTTTTTGTTCTTCCGGACCTTTGGGTTTCACAAATTCTTCAACATTTGCAACAGTAAGTACCTGAGAAGTCTGGGCAATTTCCCTACCAGACATCATAGGCATTGCTGTGAGTCCACTAGGTACATTAGGACTTTGGAAAGTTTCTTCGATTTCATGAGATAGTACCTGAGATACTGTTAGCGAGGATAATTCTTCAATTTTGATCTCCCCTTTACGTTCGTCAGGTGATGTTTGTTCTAAAAATTCTCCTGTGCTTATCATTGTTAAAATTTGATTTGTTTCAGCAATATCTCTGCCAAATAAATTGGTTTGCGCCGTTTTTTCTGTAGGCATCTCTGGGCTGGGCAGTAGAGCTTCTGCTTCGTTAGATACAGTTTGTGTTACACTTAAAGATAATAATTCTTCGAGATTTGGTTTTCCTTTTTGTAAGTCAGGTTTTTGAATTTCAACAAATTCATCTACATTTGATATAGTTGTAATTTCCATAGTCTCAGCTACGTCTCTACCGTACAAACTTGTTTGCGCTATTCTCTCGGTCGGTACCGTGGGACTGGCAAGGACATCTTCGGTTTCCTGAGATACAATTTGAGAAATTGTTAAAGACGTGAGTTCTTCAAGACTAGGTTTACCTGTCTGCTTCTCGGCTTCTTGTTTTTGGATAAATTCTTCAACACTAGCCATTGTTAAGACCAATGTTGTTTCTGCAATATCTCTACCAAACAAATCTGATTGTGCTGTTTTTTCTGTAGGAAAATCGGCAGTAACTAATATTTCTTCGGCTTCATTAGAAATTATCTGTGAAATGGTCAATGGAGTTAATTCATCAACTTTTTCTTTGCCTTTTTGTTCTTCGAGTTTTTCTGTAGCAAGCTCATCGATTCCAAACATTGTTGTTACTTGACTTGTTTCAGCAACTTCTCTACCGGAAATGCTGAAACCAGCCTTACGATCTTTCGGAACAGTTTCACTAATTAAAATGTCTTCAGCTTCATTGGAAACAATTTCAGAAACAGTTACGGACGATAATTCTTCGAGTCCTGGTTTACCTTTTTGTTCATCCAATTTAGCAACTTTTGCAAGGTCTTCGGTCATGCTTGCTGTAACTATTTGAAGAGATTCCGCGGCTTCTCTACCAGAAATACTGAAATCAGCCTTACGGTCTTTTGGAATAGTTTTACTAATTAGGACGTCTTCAGCTTCATTGGAAACGATTTCGGAAACAGTTACGGACGATAATTCTTCCAGTCCTGGTTTACCTCTTTGTTCGTCTAATTTAGCAGCTTTTGCAAGATCTTCGGTCATACTCGCTGTAACTATTTGAAGAGATTCCGCGGCTTCTCTACCAGAAATACTTAAATCAGCTTTACGATCTTGTGGAATAGTTTCACTAATTAGTACGTCTTCAGCTTCATTGGAAACGATTTCGGAAACAGTTACGGACGATAATTCTTCGAGTCCTGGTTTACCTCTTTGTTCGTCTAATTTAGCAGCTTTTGCAAGATCTTCGGTCATGCTTGCTGTAACTATTTGAAGAGATTCCGCGGCTTCTCTTCCAGAAATACTAAAATCAGCCTTGCGATCTTTCGGAGTTACTTCGCTAATTAGAACGTCTTCAATTTCATTGGAAATGATTTCGGAAACGGTCACGGATAATAATTCTTCGAGTCCAGGCTTACCTCTTTGTTCGTCTAATTTACCAGCTTTTGCAAGGTCTTCGGTTATGCTCGCTGTAACTATTTGAAGAGATTCCGCAGCTTCTCTACCAGAAACACTGAAATCAGCCTTACGGTCTTGTGGAATAGTTTCACTAATTAGGACGTCTTCAGTTTCATTGGAAACGATTTCGGAAACAGTTATGGATGATAATTCTTCGAGTCCTGGTTTACCTCTTTGTTCATCTAATTTAGTAGATTTTACAAGATCTTCGGTCATGCTTGCTGTAACTATTTGAAGAGATTCTGCAGCTTCTCTACCAGAAATACTGAAATCGGCTTTACGATCTTTCGGAATAGTTTCACTAACTAGAACGTTTTCAGCCTCATTAGAAACGATTTCAGAAACAGTTACGGACGATAATTCTTCAAGTCCTGGTTTACCTTTTTGTTCGTCTAATTTAGCAGCTTTTGCAAGATCTTCGGCCATAATTGCTGTAATTATTTGAAGGGTTTCCGCAGCTTCTCTGCCCATTAAATTCGGTTCTGCTTGACGTTCTTTTGGTACAATGGCTTCAGGCAAAATGTCTACAATTTCATTAGAAGCTACTTCGGAAATTACGACCGTAGTAAGACTTTCAAATTGTGGTTTTCCTTTTTGTTCCTCAGGCTTGAATTTGCTCTCAAATGTATCCTCTTTTTCAGCGGGTGTTGTTTCAGAACTGATTATTGTTTCTACGGTGGTTTGAATCATAGTTGCTTGAGAAGAAAGTGGTTTTTCTTCCCGAAGTTCTTTGATACTTTGCATACTTTCAACGAAAGAACCTTCGATAGTTTGGTACAGATCAATGTCTTGCGTAGCTTTAACTTCAGCTCGCTTTGAAACAATATCTAGAGCTTCTTCCTTGTCTTCAGTAATTATTTCTGAAATTTGTAATGGTTTTACATCTGATATATCAATGTTTGCTTTTTGCGTCGTAGGTTTGAAAAGACCTTCGAAAGTTTTTTCATTTTCTTCGACAAGATTCTCATTAACAATAATGCTCTCAAATGTTTCTTGGGCTGTTGTAGCCACTTGAGGTACTGAAGTACGATCAGGTATTTGTTCAGGAACGTCGATTCGTGATTCCACCATCACAGTTTCTATCGTATCACATTCGGTAACTATAGTAGGGATAGCTGTTTGCGATGTTTCATGTCTTTTCTCTTCTAATGATACTTCGACTTCGCCAGATGTTACTTCCGTGACAGATATGCCATGACCTTCTTCAAATGTTGGCTTAGCTGTGCTGGATATGATTTTCGGATATTTATCGAAAGTATCTTCACTTTCAATGCTTGGAATTTCTTCGATAATGATAGGTTGAAATGCATCCTGTTTTATATGGGCTTCCGCCTCAACCTTTTCAAATGGTTTAACAATATCGATATTTTGTTCAATAAATACTTGAGCTTTTTGGGCAATATCCATGCCAAGTTTTGTTAATTTTATTTCAGCTGTACTTTCTTCGTATTTGGAAATATTTATTATATTTTCTTTGTCTTGTGTAATGACATGATCTACAGTAATACTCTTTCCTTCTACGAAACTAATTTCAGCACTGCGTGTATCAGGTTTGAATTTGTCAGCGAATATTGTGCTTTGTTCTTGAGAAATAGTTTCACTGATGTCTATGCTTTCCAAGGTAGATTGCGTTTGATGTGCTTCGTGCGTAATTGGTTTCAATGCCACAGGCAATTCTCCGAGTCCCTCTCGTAAGTTAATTTCCAATCGTTCGGCTACTTCTTTACCTTCTATTGAAATATTTGCCGCTTCTTTGCGGAGTTTCTCTATAATAAATTCCGCTTCAACATCTTGAGTAGTAGTAGATTCTGTAATAGCAACAAATCTATTTTCATCTAAAATAACTCGTGCGCTTGTTTTTGCCAATGGTGTTTCCTGAATTCTGTCCATTTCTTTTTCTACAGGGATTTGTTCCGTCAGTTGCACTGTCTCAAAAGGTTTCTGTCCAATTAATGCGGTTGCTTTTGTTGGTGCTGCAACTTCATTGATCTCGCTTGTACTTGAGTTAAGAATTATCTCAGACTTCTCGGCAACTTCATGACCAGGAATAATAATCGAGAGTGCCGAATGAGATCTGTCTTCTTGTATCGTTTCGAGAGGAGCTTCTTTGTCAGCCGCTTTAATTTCCGTAACGGAGATAACGCGCTTGTCTTCTTCGATGGATAATTCTACTTTGTGTTGTTCTGGTATAAATTTTCCTTCGAAGGGTTTCTCTTGATCTTGAATCAGATCTTCAGTCACCAAGAGACTTTGATATACTTCTTGTGTAGACGATATCGTTTTAACATCCGGTTTTTCAATAGTGACTTTTCCTACAGAATCTTCGATAGCTATCGTAGTCGTTTCGACTATACTGTGAGTAGTAGCATCGATTCCGAGTGAAGCAGCATGTTTATGTGGTTGCTCATCAACGACATACAATGATTCTTTATCTGCAGGTGTTATATGTGCTATACTCACAATTGCTTTGCCTTCTTCCATATCAATATTCACAGTTTTATTTTCTGGCATTAGCGTTGGCACAAATTGCTCTTCTCCTTCTTGAATAACGGGTTGTGATTCCAGTAGTGGATTAAAGACCACGTGATCTGGAATTGCAACGGCAGTTAGTGGTGTTTCACTAATGGCAATTTCACTGGTGCTAAAGTCAGGAACTTGAATTGTTGTTTCAGCAACGCCATGAGTTTCCATTAAAATTTTCTCCGCTGTTTTTAGTTTTGGTGCTTCTGTGGGCTTATATTCAGTTTCTTTATCTTCTAAAATTATTGCGGCTACCTGTACACTTTGTTCCGTTACCATAGAAAGATCAGCTTGAACCATGGATGGCATTTTATCTTTTTCGAGTGCAGCTTCCGCTTCGGTTGGTTGTGTTTCCGTTCGTACTACTGTCTCTAACGGAATACTTGAGAATATGGCTGAAGCGGAAACCGGTTTTGTCTCTGTCAATTCTCCTGCGCTAGAATCTAGAGTGACTTCACTTTTCTCGGCAATTACATGTCCGGCAAATTGAATTTCGGCCCTTTTTTCTGTTGGTTTTTCAGGAATTTGAAGAACGTCTTCTTTTTCAGCTAGAATCTCAGTGGACATGATGGCGCTAATAATTTCGTCAACGGATATCTGGGCTGTGTTAGTTTTTACAGGTTTATCTTTAAATTCTATTTCGGTTTCTGTTACAATAGTTTCACTTTGAACAATACTTTCAAATGGCAAATGTTCTTCTTTTGCCGCTGCACTCATTGGCGCTTTTATATCAAGATCTCCTGGACAATTAGCTGGTGTAATTTCCGTGAGTTCGGCGATTTTATGAGCATCATAACTAGTAGTGACTTTTTCACAGGGAATATCCGGTTTTTTTAAATATTTTCGCTCTTTGTCAGACGCAATTGTTTCAGTTACATTAATGCTAGTTTCTTCTTCGAACGATATATCGACTCTCTTCTTATCTGGTTTTACGAAATCCAACATCGGCTGTTCTGAATCATCGGCTGAGGTTTCGGACGTAACAATACTACGATGAGTAATATGCTCAGTCGTTGCTATTACGGAGATTGTCTCTTCACGTTTAAATTCGCTGATATTATCGGTTGCATTTATTTCGGCAGCTTGTGCTACTACATGAGTTGGAATATCGAAAATAGCAGATTTAGATTCTGGTTTTTCCATTTCTGTAAATATGCCTTCTTTATCCTCTGCTGTCACAGACGAAATAACGAGACCTTCCCCAATTACAAATTCGAGATTCGCTGTTTTCTCTGGTGCTGGCATATGAGGGAAAGGCTTTTCGGTTTCTCTTGTCTGCACTTCTTCAGCAACGGCTGTTTCAAATGGCAATAATGTCGTTTTAGGATGCACTTCTTGGGTAGGTTGCGTAGATAATTCAGTTGGAGCAACGTCACTGACAATTTCAAATTTCGATGCTATTCCTTGTGTTACTACATCGACCGTAGCTTCGGCGGTTTTTGGTACTGGTTTCTCACTAAATATATCTTCTTTATCTTCGGGATGTGTAATCGCAACCGTTAGACTTTCTTCTTCTTGGAAGATAATATTAATTGTTTTGGCATCAGGTTTTATATCCGCTGCTAAAAGCGATTCTTTCTCAGATACGGATATTTCCATCTGTTGTACAATGTCTAGTCCGCTTTGCAATTGATTAGCACTCTCCTGAATCGGCTTTTCTTCTTGTAATGCACTTACATTGCTTGCAAGAATCATTTCTTGCGTTTCGGCTATCTCATGACCCTCAGTTACATCCAGTATAACCTTTCGTCCATCCGGTAATTTTTCCACTGATAATTCTTCTTCTTTCAGTACAGTAGTTACTTCAGTAATAGTCAATTTTTCAGATCGAGCGCATATTTCAACTGCGGCGTTCTGTTTCACAGGATGCGTATCTTCCTCTCTAGCTCGTTCTGCTTCACCGACATTTGTTTCTGTCACTATTAACTCTTCCAAAGCTTCTTGTTGCAATGTTGCTTTGCTTGCTTTTGGTAAATCACTACTTATTTCTCCAGCCTTTTGTTCTACTAGAATTTCTGCTTTTGACGCGATAGTATGACTGGTTATGGATGATTCAACTGTATGAGTCTGTGGTTCAGTATCTGGCGTGTAGATGTTTTCGAGATCGTGCGGAATTATTTCTAGAACGCTAGCGCCAAGTCTCGCTTCTGCAAGTTCAATGTTTGCTGTCTTTTCTTCGGGCTTTACGTCTGCTTTGTAAATATCTTCCTTTTCCGCGGTTTCTTGCATAGCAACGCTGACAGTTTCTATAGGAACGGAAGAAGCATATGCTTGTCCACTCACAGGTTTATCTTCCGCTCGGTATTCTTCAGTCGGTGATTCCGTTCTTACTTGTTCGCATACTGGAGCAACTTGTGGCATATATTCAGTATTCGCAAATGCACCTTTAATATCAGCTATTTTAACATATTCAGTTTCTTTTTCGCCAGCTATAATCATCACAGTGTGCAAGCTCTCAATCTGATCCATTAAGATTGTCGCAGTCTTAGTATCAAGACTCTCAATTTGTTTTGTTGGAGCTACATCTTCTGCCGCGACAGTCTCGCCAACGACTGTCTCTTGTAGACTAACTGCTTCAATTTTAGCCGTAGCGGTTAATAAAGTTTCTTTTGTAATTTCACCTACATTACTTTCTGGTTGAGTTTCTTGAATCTCAAGCGAAATCATTGGATGAGTGGGCACTGTTTTACCGCGATGTGATTCAGGCATTTCAAAGATTTTCAGGTCAGCTTCTTTTTCTATAGAAGTGGTTTGCGTTATCTCGACACTTCTGACAGCGTCATAAACTGTTTCGACTGTATGGGTTTCCGGTTTAGTATCTTCTTCCATAGTAGCTTCTCGATCGTGAGCGAGCGTTTCGAGTACAGTTTTCGCTTCCGTCAACTGAACAGATACAACACCGCTTTCCGAAACGTACTTAAGTGTATCTTTCAGATCTGCGGGATAATCCGCGGTTTGAACTTGAGATATTAAAACATGTTCTTCCGGTCTGACCGATGTTTCCGCCAGTACTTCGGATGGTTTTTGATCAGGGTTATAAATTCCTTCGGACTCTTGAACGACTGTATCTGTTACAGAGCCAATTTCTAGTGGAGATATAGATAAAACAGCCGATTTAGTAATCGGCTTTTCTTCAGGATGATAATCTCGTTCCTTTTCGGAAGTCATTGTCTCCACTGTTACAGCTGATATAATTTCTATGACATTGAAATCTGCCGTGACCTGTTTGTTCTCTTCAATTGTTAAATCGTCTTCTTTTTGTTGAGTGTCGATTGTTGATATCGTGACTCCTTCTAAAAGTGTAATGTTTGATGTAGCTTCGAAAGAATCTACTTTACGGTCGGGAACATATTCGCCTTCATGTTCTTGTACGAGATCATGACGTATAACAGCCGTTTCGTTTTCATAGGAAATTCCTATTTGAGCCGTTTGACTCGGCGGTAATCTACCTGGAATGTACGCTCCTTCTTTTTCAGGTGCATTCATCTCTTCGGTGACACGTTGCGTTTGCGAAATCACCATTTCAGTGGCGACTTCGGTTGGCACTATTAACTCCGGATAATATTTCCCTGGTTTATCCTCGGGACAAACTTCTTCCACCATTAGCGGTTCGATTGCGTTGATATTAACTCGAGGTTTTGTAGGCATCATTTTCGTAGGTTCCAACTTATCTTCGGCTAAATTTTCCTGTATTTCATAAACTGAAAGGCCTATTTGTGGTAAAATAGTGTCTTCTGCTGTAACGCCTAAGGGCGCTATAAAATCTTCGGTAGGTATTTCGCTTTGGCTAACTATAGTCTCGCTAATAGTTGTGGCTTCTTGCAGGGTGACTTGCACATCTGCCTTTTTACTTATTTCTGGACTGGTTACTGTTAAATTTGTTACATCATCGTCATGCGTCAGTGTTTCGCTAATGAGAAGACTTTCTTTTGTTATTATAGAAGATGTAGCCTCGTAAGAAGCAGCTTTGAATGTACCTGAAAATTCATCAGTTGATATTTGTGCTGTAGTTTCCGTAATAGAGTATGGTTCTATCGGTGAGATTGATACTGAGGCTTTACGTTCGGTCGGCTTTACACTCGTTACCTCGTCAATTTCTTTCTCGTGCACTGATGTTGTCTGTTCTGTTAATGCGATGACAGTGTCTAACGTGTATTTTGCTTTCTCTGATTCCGGTTTGCCGGGCGCTTGTTCGATTATACGATCTAGCGGTATCACTTGATTACGTTGACTCGAAACATTCAAAGGAATAGATGGTAACAATTCATCTTTTATTATTTCAAGTTCTTCTATCTCTTCCATTTGAATCTCATCTTTACCAATGTCTGATTTTTTTGGTATTAATGTCTTTCTAACTTTTGTAATTGTTTCTTCTTCCTCCTCCTCCTCCTTCTCTTCTTTTATTTGCTTTTCCACATCTTGTTTTTGCTTACGAATCAATCTGCCTTTTGAGTCGCGTTCAAGTTCAATAATCTCTTCTTCTATTTCTTCTGCTTCTTTTTTCCTTTCCTTTTCAATCTCCTCGATCTCCTTGATTTTTATAATTTGAACCCCCTCTTCCCTATCTTGTGTTGTTTCTTCGATTTGATCTCTTGGTTTTCTATCTTTGCGTTTGCGCAGTGTTGTGTGTGCCTGGCGTGTGTCCTCGTATTCTGTGGAAAGTATGTGAGAATTTTGTGTCAGACGTGAGTGTTGCGTGATGTTTTAATTCTCTCTCTCTCTCTCTCTCTCTCTCTCTCTCTCTTTCTTTCTCTCTCTTTCTTTCTGTCATGTCTCACATATCCCATGCCACGACTAAAGAACGCGTATTTGGTTACAATATGAACGTGCTTAATAAATAAACTAGTGGCAATTGTTTAAGTTTTCAGAAATGTGTAAAATAAATGTTGGAATGGTTTAGTAGAATGTAACATTACTATTCTTATTCATGCGCTATACTTTTACCATTTTGTATTGAACAAGATATTGATAAATATATAAGACTTACATTTTAAGGCACAATCGGCGAAGCGCGAATAAGCATCGAGTCGCAAAGCGTTGATTTCGAAGCTGATATGGAAAATAATTCACTGGGTAATTGTAATGTGACGAAAAGAAATTATATAAAATGAAGGGATATAGGATTTTTTGCGTGTGGAAAGCATAGCGGCGTAAGTAGAAAAATCGCGCAGCTATTATTCGATCAAATAAAGCTTCATGCATCTGAAAGCATAATAGAACAACGATCATTATAATATTCGTAAATACCATATCTTGCGACCATTTTTTGCTTTTTTCTATCTTTTGTTTTTGCTATACCATCATTCTTACAAATAATAGCAGAAGCACTATATTATTATGAATTCTAATTATCAGAATAGTAGATTATATGAATAAATATTCCATGCAGTAAAATTCGTTGTTTCGAACCTTTAATTTCTCGAATATCCTGTGCGTGAGTAGTTTTCCTTTCGTCTCTCTTTTCTGCAAAGAAAAAATATTTACTCTTTTGAAAAATTTAGAATCGATTATATGTATGAAAAAAAAAAATGCAAAATGTATTGTAGTTTGCTGGGTGTTACCTAGTTTAGAAAATTTTAAGTAAATTTAAATTTTATGCGTATATATAAAAAGCTTTTAAAAAATACAAATTGAACAGTCTACAATCACAACTTACCCATAAAATGAACTTCTGTTTTGCGAACAACATCTATTCTTTCTGTAGCACGTTGCTCAGTCTCGATCTGAGAAAAAGAACGAGTGATTATAATATGTATCTTATTATAAGAAAATCTAAATAAAAAGAGAAAAATTTCTAATATTATTTACTAATATTTATATATTATATATATATATATATATATATATATATATATATATATATATATAATTAAAATAACATATTTATACTATATCTATATACCTCGGAAATTTCAGTAACTTCCCAAGCACGTGGCCTAAAATCTTCCGGAGCGAAGTGCGTGATGACTTCTTCCACAGTAGCATGCTGAAGCTCGACCATCCTCATAAAAGCACGAAAACCGACTGTTGCTGCAACGAAGCTCTCGTCCGTCGTTGTCTCTTCGGTAAGTACTTGAGTAATTAAGGGACCATGACCTTTTCTTTCTACCAATTGTACTAAAGCATTCTGAGCATCTGGCGTTTTTAAAGCAGGAAAGATTTCAGTTCTATAAAGGCATTCATTGATCTCGTTTACGGAGACACCTTGTCGAACTAAGTAGCCAATTGTCGCGAGTTCCCGAAGGGGAGATTCCCCTGGACCAAATTCTTTCGCGTCAAGTACCTCCATTATTTCGTCAACTTCGCGAGCTATGTTTTCTTTCTGTCGCTCTACAATCTCCTGTACTATAACATCTTCTTTTATCTTTTCCGTTTTCGTTTTCCTCGCTTTTTTCTGTTTTGTCTCTATGCGTTTTGTTTCTTGTACACTAGTTTCTACATGTGTTTCGGAGACCGACACTTTTTGTAAAGTTTCCGAGGTTACTTGAGCGTGATCAAGCTTTGTTTCGACGGTAAAATCAGGGGCGGTATCCTCGCTCGTGATCTCTGATACAACGACACTTTCCCGTTCTTCGACAATTCGTTTGGCATGTTCTTCAATTTTAGGTACATGTTCTTGAAGTTTCCGATCATCAATTTTCTTCAAAGAAGCTGTTGCTTCAGTCACAACTGGTTCTTGAATTGGTACTATTCTTCGTGCTCTAGAAATCTAAAATGTGAATGATTAAATAGCAGTTACATGAAATACTATAAAAAATATAATTGTAAAATTATATAAAAAAATTTGATATTATAATACCTCTTCAGGTTTCTCCTCTATGATTTTTGTAGTTTCCAATAATTGAGTCTCTTCAATATCAACAATTTTTCTGTAAAAATGTAAAAAACAAATATAATTTATAAACAAAATTAACTGAAAAGTCAAGAATGAAATATATTGAAATAACGTGAAATGGAGAATTACTGACTTTTCTTCTATTTGTTCTTTTGGTATAAGCTTCTCTTCATGGATTTCTTCCTTCTCGATTTTGATACGTTCAACCTTTACTTTTTCTTTGATTTCTTTCGCTTTCTTTAGCTCAGGCTTCTTCTTTTTATGTGGTTTTTCTTCTTGTTTCTTCTGCTTTGTGTCTGGCTTTTCTTCTTCTTTGATTACGTCGTCCGGCATTGGTTTTGATTCGCTTACAGTATCCACACGCAATTTGGCTTTTGTTGTTATCATACCAATTTCGCTTGTAGCTTTACAAATATATGTGGCATCATCCTCTTTGGTAGCGCGCTTTATCGTTAGAGTAGTTTTATTTTCTTTTTCGAATAACCGCACTTTTACATTCTCCGTGTTCAGTATAAGTTTATCATTTTTATACCAAACAACATCTAAAAGTTGATGAAACAATTATAAAATTAAGAATTTTATGATTAAATTTTATTACTACTTGCATTATGTATAATCATTACCTGGTTTGGGATTTCCAGAATAAACACATTCAAACAAAGCAGTATCTCCTTCTTTCGTATAAATGTCCGTTATCTCTTGAATAAATCGTGGGACAGCTTGCGTGGCTGAAATATGTTATATTATGTATCATTATTAAAAACTTTCGCAAAAAATGGACTATATGATTGATTTAAATAAATTTCTTACCTAGTTTTATTTTTGATGTCAATGTTACTTGCGTAAACTTCATGTCAGTAGTCTAATTAGACAGAAATACATGAAAATACATGCATGGTTATTTTCAAAACAATACATTTTTATTGTTAGTTTAAAACAAACTTCTACCTGACATCGTGCCTCTTTCGTCTTCGATGTTATATTCGTCATAAAACACTTTGGATGTAGAAATGGTGGCCGCTAATCCAAGATTTCCGCTGCATTGACTTTCAAGCAATAAAAATTCCTGCAATTCTTCTTGGCTATCCACTGTATGTAGTTGCTGGAAAGACTCTAGATCAATTTCTCTTGGCTCCAACGGAAACATTCGAGGATCCATGACATAATTTTCGATTTTTCGCTCTATGGTACGTTTTGAGACTGGTATTCTAGACTTCGGATATGTATGATATTTTTTTTTACAGTCATAAGTCGATTTAACTATGGATTCTTCGGAAATAGTTTTATTTATTTTTGCTTTCAATTTATTTTGGTCACTCACGCTTGGCATTTCGTTACTTTCTTCGATTAATGACAAATAGAATGGCGATTTTTGTTCATCTGAAGCAGTTGGCTTTTTAGTATCTGAGTAAAAATTTTGTTCTCGAATTTTTTTCTCGTATTTTGAAGGTGGAAATTCACTAAAATCGAGAACAATTTTCTTCTTTTCACACTTTTTCGATACATCCATAGAAATTTGTTCATTGAAGAGTGGATGCTTGTCACAGATTTTGCTTGTTTTTTTAAATGTATTTTCTATATTAAAAGATTTAACAACAAGCGGCTCGCCGATGATATTCTTTTGAATAATAGGTTTGATATATTCTGTTCTGAGTGATGGTTCTTTCGACATGCTTAATATTTTTACATTCTGCTTATGTTTTGGATATTTTATTTCCACGTTTTGTGTATTTAAAATTGATGCTGAGAAACCTTTTAATTGTATAATTGACTTTGCAGTGTCTTTTTCTTTAATCCTGGATTCGTAGTTCATCATATTACTAGTCATTGGTTTAACAAGTGCACTTCTTTTATTCTCTAGTGGCATTGTATATGAAACATATTTGGATTTGACATTATCTTGTTCTATTTCGCGTAACCGCATTATTAAATCAGATTCCATTGGAGCTTGTTCCTTGCGAGAAGTATCAATTTGTGAGGAGTATTGTATCGCAGTGATATCTTTTTCAATTTTTATAGAATCTGAATATCTTCTTGATAAAAGACATTCTTTCGAAGCAGTTTTATCTTCGTCAAAAGACAATCTTACATCGTCACTAATGTTCATTAATGTTTTTGTTGACGAAAATTCGCTGATCATAGTCGAGCTATCTTTTTGAGAACTTTCGGAGTCTCTTAATCCATGATCATCTAGACTGTCGCTCGATAAACTACATTCTGCATCACTCGGCATGCAATTGGCCACGTCCAGGCGAACGCAATAATTACCTTTAAGAGCCTCCTGCATTTCTTCCATCTGTGTGACCCATTCTGGTTTTCGGTATGCTTTTGTTCCGAGTATACCTAATTGATAGAACGATAATAGATAGAAACGTATAACAAATGTATAGCGAATCTCTCTGGTCCCGTTAATATTCAAATAGATCGAAGGATTTGAACGAGATCAAAAAGATTCGTAGATTTGCACAAAATATATAGATAAAATAAAAAAACAGTGTAAGTCGAGGATGTTGCAAGTGTTTGGTGTGGATGATATCAGGAATGTCAGGATATATCAATGGATTTTTACCAGGATGCTATAAGGCTTCAATGACGCTTCTCCAATTGAAGAGCGCAGCTGAAAAGAACTTGATTTAATTAAATTAATGAGTTTTTGGAAACTGTAGAAAGAAGAGAATATTACCTTCTACTGATAAATATGCCGTTGTAGTCGATACACCAAGTGCATTATGAGCTTCAAATACGATTTCACCGGTATCGTCGGGGAAAGTTTCGGCAATTGTCAGAACCGATGTGCCATCTTCGAATTCTTCAATTTGGAATTCTTGCGATGAAACAATTTCTACGCCTTGCTTATACCATTTTCCTTCCGGTTTTGGTTTACCTCTCACTTTTACTTCCAATCTACAAGAAAAAATAGCAGTTACACATATGTGCATATATATTGCGCGTTTAACACGATTATATCTTAAACGCACCTAGTTAATTCCCCATCTTTGGTAGGAACTAACTGAGGAAGCGCTTTAATTATCTCTGGTGCAGATTCTTCTACATCAGTGTCGAAAATAGGAGTTTCCTAGAGACAAAACAAATTTTGATGTTTAATGTTGTATCACAAGTATACCACTCTGTATTATTAAATTTTATATTTACTTTTGGAGATAAAAGATCTTCTTCTGATCCTGTGGTAAGGGATGTTGCAACGATCGAAGATGCAATTTCCGAGTCAGGTACATACTCGTAGGCTGAGAGAGAATTTGATTATAATCGCGTAAGACAAACAGCAATGACAAATTTATAATTATTTGTAACAAATAACATACCTTCTACGACGAGCGATGACATGCAGACAGCTTCGCCAACAGGATTTACAGCGCGACAAGTGTATTCTCCTGCATCCTCCGGGAATACTTCGGTAATGGCTAGGCTACATACACCCTCCATGTCTTGGACAATCGTAATTTCTTTGCCTTCTTTAATTGGTTTATCGTTATGGTACCACTCTACTCTGGGCGTCGGTTTTCCTTCAACGACGCAGGTTAAATTAACACTTTCGCCGTCCATTACTCTTACAGGTGAAAGTCTCTTAACGAATGTCGGTGAAATTAGTTCAGTTGCCTCTTCCCATGTTGTTTCTATGATGTTAACGGTGGCTGTACAAGTGACTGAGCCACCGACATTTTCGGCACGACAAGTATAGCTACCGGCAAGTTCTGGTTTAACTTTTTTCACCAACAAGATCGATCGATTCTCTTGAGTTACGATTCTCACCTGTGGTGTCGACTGCAAAAAAAGTTAAATATTTTATTAACATTTTGAGAGATTTTGAGTAATGTATCACTCTATGTAACAATCAACAAAGTAATAAATGTGTATATCCAATTTAAAAAATTTTGTTTAAACATACAAAGAGCAACTTAAAAAACATACTTCAAGAGGTTTGCTTTCATGAAACCATTGGAAGGATGCTGTCGGATATGATTCTACTCGTGTTTCCATGATAACAACTTCTCCTTCTGCAACGAGTTGAGGCTGAATAGGTTCCACAAACATCGGTGCGATTACTTCGTCTGTACTATCTTTGCGTTCTTTAATAGTAACAGAACTTGAGCTTCTTGCTTCACCGACTTCGTTCTGGGCTCTGATTTCGTATTTGCCACTGTCTTTTTTTGTGACGTCAGATATAATTAATTCGGCAGTATTCTCATAGACATTTATCTTACGTTTGTCAGTCGGTGTAATTTCAATGCCATTTCGGAACCATTTGACTTCTGGCTTCGGTACACCTTCGAAATCAGCCAAAAGCTGCAGAGGCTTTCCGCGTTCTGCTACGAGCGCAGGTAAAGGTCGTGTAATTCGCGGTGCTCTAAGAATAATTGGTTTGCTTACTTTAACGATGTTACTGATCACTAAATTAGCTCTGCATTCAGCGCGACCGTATTTATTTATAGCACGAACGCGATAGATTGTTTCGTCTTCGGATGTTGGTTCTAAGATTTTAAGCTTGGCATCTCCAGTTTCCGGATTGAAGATTATTTCGGTCTTTTCGTTTGGTTTCACTTCTTTCTCACCGCGGTACCATTTTACTTCAGGTACTGGTGTACCAGTTACAACGCATTCTAATAAGGCAGGCGTATGTTCTTCAACCATTAGCGGTTTAATCGGCGTTGAAAAATGCGGTGCTATGCCTTCCTCTTCTTTTTCTGAAAAGACGTAAAAGTTTTAATATAAAATAATAGATATAATCTCTTAATATAAAATAATAGTAAAAAATAAAACAAAAAATAATACGTATACATATGTGCATACATAAGCATATATACAAAAAGTGTATGTCCACAAAAAGTAGGGAACATTTTTCAGACGCACAAAACTGAGTAATTTTCAAATCGCTGAAGTTTGGCAAAATATATCATCACAGACAAAAAATTAAAATAGCACTTTGCAGCTTGAAGTTAGAATTTTTACGTGCTTCAGACCGTTTTTTAAAAATTTTTTATCTGTACACTTCTAAACCTAAAGAAAGAACATATTATTTTGTTCTTAAAATTACATATATTCAAAACTGCAGCGCAATAAAAAATTTTTTCTTGTAAAATTTATAACAAATATAAAAAACTACAATATTTTACATATACATCGCGTTTTTTTTAATTTTTCTACAATTTTTTTGGTCGAGTTATAAGACTTTGAAGCTAAACCTGTATTTTTTACGCTAATGTTACTGCCGATGATTATTTTTCATAAAATGTAGCGTTGATTTTGAAGTCGCGTAACTCGGACAAAAAAATCATGGAAGAAATGTAAAAAACGCATTGTGTAGATAAAAGTTATGATTTTTGACACTTGTCATAAATTTCGTGAAAAAAATTTTTTATGAAGCTATAGAGTGTTAAAAGTATGTATTCTTCTTTTAAGTTTAGAAGTATAAAGATAAAACATTTTTAGAAAATAGTCTAAACTATGTAAAAGTATAAGTTTTAAGCTTTGAAATGCTTTTTTAATTTTTTGTCTACGACAATTTTTCGCCGAGTTACGATTTGAAAATTGTTAAATTTTAAGCGTCTGAACGTCTCAACATGGTAGCGCAATGTCGCCGAGAACGGCTGAATGTGCGCCATTAATACGGCATCGTGCGTATTAATGGCGCGCACTCAGTTAGTCGGTCGCACTGCTCTGCTGTGTCAAAACGTTCAAGCGCTTAAAATTGACCAATATTGAAACCGCTGTAACTCAGCGAAAAATTATCGTAAACAAAAAATTAAAAAAGCATTTTAAAGCTTGAAACTTGTACTTTCACGTACTTTTAGGCAATTTAAAAAATTTTTTAAACATTTTTAGACATTTGTTATAAATTTTGCGAGAAAAAATTTTTTATTAAGCTACAGAGTGTTGAATGTTTGTAATTTTAAGAACAAAATAATGTTTTTTTTTGGATTTAGAAGTGTAAAGATAAAAAAATTTTCAAAAACTCGTCTAAAGCTTAAAAATACAAACTTGAAGCTTTATGATGCTTTTTTAATTTTTTGTCTGTAAACTTATTTTTTGCTGAATTTTAGCGATTTGAAAATTGCTCAATTTTATGCATTTGAAAAATTCCCATTTTTTGTGGAGTAGTATATATAATCACGCATGTCGTGCGTTGAGCATATATTTATGTCGCGTTTGCCACGTTTCGCAAATTATTGTTAATTTATTTGTATTTACGAAAAAATAAAATATATTTTTTTAAGATATTTAATATACAAATAATACAAAGATGTTTAGTTATTTTTTATTAAGCATGCGTCTATTTGCAACAATTGCTAACTTTACAAAAAGATTATAAGTCTAATTCCACAATGTCCATATTAGTAGGAATTAGTAGGGAGAATTGAAAATCTCGATAAAAAAAAATTAAATCAACTATGTCTTATTTAAATCCAAATCCAAATCAAAGTTATTTGAATTTCACACACGATAATATTACTACCGAATATCACAAGATTGACAGTCGATGTTGCCACTCCAGCCGGATTGGACGCTCTGCAAGAGTACATTCCAGCATCTTCTTCTTTAACTTTTGTGATTTCTAAAGTTGCCGTTGTCTCAAATATTGTCATTGTATATTTTTCACTTGCATGGAGTTCTTGTTCGTTTTTATACCAAGAAATTTCGGGGACAGGGTTTCCTATGACAGTGCACGTAAACTTGGCAGGTTTTTCCAATTCCGCAATAACAGGTTGTAATTTTTGGATGAACCGTGGAGCAATAGTTTTATCTTTATCCATAATAGATATATCGACTTGAGTACGTTGTCTACGTTTTCGTTTACGGTCTTCTACTTGCGTTATATCTTTCTTAACTTGCAATACAACGTCTTCAACAGTCTCTTTAATTTCCTCAGTTTTTGTACTAACTTTTTCAGGTACTATTTCCATTTTGCTAGATACAATAGTTTCATCTTTCTGTTCCGACACTTTTGCAATTTGTTCTTCGAACTTTATAGATTTTAATTTTACAATTTCCTCTTCATTGGACTTTTCTTCTAATACTACTTCTTTCTTTCCTTTCTTTTTAGAGACTGGTTTTAATTGAATTATATCTCTTTCAACTATTTCAGGTAACTTATCATCTTTAACTAAAGTTGGTACCTGTTCTTCGGGCTGTTCAACTTTTGGTTTTATTTCCTTTATTTTTTCGACAGGCTTTAATATAATAGTTTCTTTCTTTTCTTCTACCTTTTTTCGATCTTGTTTCTTTTTCCTCCATGACACTTCGCTTGTTGCAGTCACTTCCTCCGTTATTTTTTCTTCGTCGTACAGTGCCACAGGTTCTACTTGTATTTGTTTTTCATCATCCTCAGTAATAATTACCGTTGATTCTTTTTCCTCGAAAATCTCTGCAACCGATTCTTCTTGATCGATAGGAACTATTGTAACTTCCTCTTTAAAATCAACGACTTTTTTCGTTCGCTTATTACGCCGCCAAGAAACTGCAGCTGTTTCAGTTGGTTTATCTTCAACTGGTTTATCATCGATCTTCTCGGAAATCATTTCAGGTACTGGTTTTATTGTTGGTTCTTCTTTCTTTTCTACTGGTTTCAAAACAATCTGTTCCTTTGTTTCTTCCTCTTTAGGAAGCCTTTTAACAGGTTTTAAAACGACTTCCTCGGGTTTCGGTTCTTCGGGTTTCTCTTTCCTTTTCACAGGTTTCAATCGAACTTCTTCGGGTTTCTCTTCAGGTTTTTCCTTCTTCACTGGTTTTAGAACAATCTGTTCCTTTGTTTCTTCTTCTTTAGGAAGCCTTTTAACAGGTTTTAATACGACTTCCTCAGGTTTCGGTTCTTCGGGTTTCTCTTTCCTTTTCGCAGGTTTTAATCGAATTTCCTCGGGTTTCTCTTCGGGTTTTTCCTTCTCTACTGGTTTCAGAACAATTTGTTCTTTTGTTTCTTCTTCTTTAGGAAGCCTTTTAACAGGTTTTAATACGACTTCTTCAGGTTTCGGTTCTTCGGGTTTCTCTTTCCTTTTCACAGGTTTCAATCGAATTTCCTCAGGTTTCTCTTCAGGTTTTTCCTTCTCCACTGGTTTCAGAACAATCTGTTCCTTTGTTTCTTCCTCTTTAGGAAGCCTTTAACAGGTT